AATTACACAAATCACCCTGTTAATTAATAAAGAAGAGGAGTTGACATTTTTTAGTGGCCACATGATATGCTCCTGAGGGACTCTACATATGGTAGAAGTATGTAAAGTTCCTCATGACTCACCCTGTATACACAGTAACGTCTCGTTTTATGCGGTGAATACGTTCCACAGAAAAGTGCATATAAAAAAATTGCATAAAAAAGACATTACTTGCCTTGAAAAAGTAGGGATTCCTGACATATCAAAAAAGGTATTTAAATAAAAAAAATAACTTATTTTTTCAAATATCTAATTAAAACAGGAAAACTTTATTACTTCTGGAACTCTGTACATTCCACGATTATTTAACCTTGTTTGTTCGTTCATCTTCAAACAATATCAGTATGATTAAATAACATGATCACCTTCTGATAAATGAGATTTGGCGAATGATGGAACAATTGCTGGAATATCATCAACACTACCAGATTCCAAATTTAATTGCTCATCAGTAATTTTACTTGAAATTTCGTTTTGTTTTTTTTTTATTTCAGAATTTTCTTTTCATCAGAATCTGAATTTTCCTTGTAATTCCGCTTTGTTTTTTTTTCTTGCAGAATCTTCTTTTCGTCTCGTTTTCGCTCTTGCTTTTCCTGTTCTTTGAATTATTTTTCCATTTTTTTCTTTAAATGGTATTGTTTCCACTGAGTGGAAGTTGCAACAGATGGCAACTTTTCACCGACTCTTTTTTTTTCGTTTTCTTTAGAATATGGTTTGTCTGGCCAAAACAATGCATTCTTAAATGGAGTAGGTATTTTTCCATCAATTGGTTATATATTTTTCAGGTGATTTTTCAAGGAGACTCTGTTGTAAGTTTTCTAAAGTAGGTGTACCGTTAACATTAAAATCGAGTTCAACAACTGCAACATCGCACCTGGTGGATTATTATCCGTATAAAAATGTGGTAGTGGGTCTTTATCTGTATTACATTGATCCATGATGTTCTCCTTGTTATCTGAACGATCTTCTTCTGTTGTTGAGATTCCAGGGTTATTTCATTTGCGAACGATAAATTTGTTGAGTTGTTTTCATTTTTGATCTTCAGCCAAACTTGAAACTTCAACCAAACTGTCTAGAATGTTGTATATTTCCGTTCCATGTATCCGAGTCTGCTGCATTAATGTAACAAGCCAGGGTCAATGTAGGTCTCTAACATTTGTTGAAATGTTTTTTCTTGTAAAGTTTCTTCTACGGGGAATGGATTCTTGTGAATTTCTGTATTATTTGACTTGAAATATTTTTGGTAGTTGATTGCATCGGCGTTGTATGGGCACAAACCGGCAGCACGAAAACCATTCAATATAATTTTCGGAGTAATGGAATTCTCTATGGCTTTTGCTAGAACTGGTCCAAAATTCTCCTTCTTCATGTTTGAACCATTGTTTTGTATTCTCTAATTGTCTATTTCATTTCTCCAGCAATTTTTTAGGGGTCTAAAAACTGCTACATCTATCGCTGCGTAATATGTGACTAGAATGTCCATCAATGAAAAATATAATTGGAAATTCAATTTAGTTTTCCACAGCCCAAGGATAAAAAACGTTTGTTATATACTCATAGAACACGGATGGCTCAAAAACAAGGGAGGGTGTTGGAGCCGGCATAGTAGGGACAAATCAAGGGATACATTTCCCGGTAAGTCTATCTAAGGATGTGACAGTTTTCCAGGCGAGAAATAACTGCAATCCATCACTGTGTGGAAGAAATAGAAAGGCAGGAAAGAACGTTCTGTTCAGTTGCCATCTTCACAGATAGTCAGGCAGCGCTTAAGGCACTCAATTCTGTAGTGGTCAATTCTAAGCTAGTATGGGATTGCGTGTGTGCCCTAAATAAACTAGGAGACCGTAGCAAGGTTACGATAGCCTGGGTACCGGGGCACGAGGGTCATAAGGGCAATGAAAAAGCAGATGAAATGGCCAAACAAGGCTCATCAATGCCATTCATTGGACCGGAACCCTTCTGCGGCGTTGCAAAGTCAGTAACAAGAACGGCTACAAAGGAGTGGGTAGCTCACAAATCTCTGGAATGGTGGAAGAATTCACCAGGACAAAGACAGGCGAAACAGTTCATTAGAGAACATTCGCCAAAATTTACGGCAGACCTAATTAGCAAAGATAGGAAAACAGTCAAAGCCATAGTAGGTCTTCTAACAGGGCACTGTAAGCTGAATAGGCACTTGAAGCTAATGGGATTATCAGATGATGACCTGTGCAGATTCTGTCACCTCGAAGAAGAAACGGCAGAGCACATTTTATGTCAGTGTGACAGTCTGGCAAATGTGCGGTTTTTTGCATTAGGAGAAGAAAATCCACCGGCAAACAGCTACATGGAAGGTACAGTCTCGAAGCTACTAGACTTTATAAAGAGGGTCAGGCTAGAGAATGTTGTCTAGGACTAGAGGGCCACAATAGATCTGAAAAGGTCGCAGTGGAATAGGCCGAAAGGCCACCTCTCTTAATCTAATCTAATCTACTCATAGAAAGTTTCCGCGATCATCCATCCACTTTCACTTTTACAAATTGCAAAAGATGTTTGCATAGAAGCAGATATACGCGGTGGAATCCTTTCATAAACAATATCACTATGACTGGGGCAATGTTTCTTACTGCGTTTGCTGTCATAAGAATAGTAAGGCACTCTTTCTCGTCGTTTGGAAGATGGCTGTAGACAGTGGAATCTCCGTTGAGTGTAAGAACTCGGCTTCCTTTAGGATTCATATAAAAAGCCGACTCATTAGCATTGAATACTCTTAGGATCATTAAAAATGTCGTAATAATTATTCTCCCCAAGGTACGATTTAGTATCCCTAAATGAGCGGCGTACATTTTCTTCATTGACAGATGACCTCCTCGTGGTTAGGTTTTGCGCGACTCTATGTGTCAACTCTGGATGTTTTTGTAGAAAGCAAGAATATCACTTTTTGCCAGTTCTTTCATTTTTGAAATTATTTTCACGTTTGTTGTTCAAAGCTGAAGCTTTGTTGCTGGAAAACCACGATCAGAAATATAAAATAACCATTTGACCAACAGATTTTCTTCATCAGTGGTTAAATTTGTAGCAGGTCCCTTTCTGCATTCTCTAGGGCGTTTACCACTTTTTTTTATATATTAATGTAGTTCTTGGGATCCCCAATGAAAAGTGTAGTGAAATATCTCATAACACAGTGTTTCCGGACAGCTATCAGAAATTGCTATTTAATCTTGGCATTAAATATAAGTTAGTGTTTAATCTGTCTTTCAATTCAGCCCTTGGCTGGTGGTCCTTCGATTCTTTTAAATAAGTTATTGTTTAACCATATGATGATAATAATGATTGAATGGCGATGATACGATAGGTGATGATTGATGATGATGATAACGATTAAGAAATTATCTTTTAATAGCAGTAATTAAAATATTTTGTGTCTTTATTATCTTTCTGATTTTTTCATTCATTGAATCCTTTATGTTAAGCGCTTATTTCTTCATCCAGTTTTATTCATATAAAAACTCAAAAAAACTGATTTATTATATTTATTTAACCCATAATTATTGCATTTACTCGCATTACCGTAAAATTACAAGATACCATTCACTTTTGCAATATTGATCAATGTTCAAGCCCAATCTCACTAAACGGCCGACGCACCAATTTTAGTTATAAACAACAATTTCAATTAACCAAACTGTTTATTGCTAGTAACAATGGCGTCTACATTAAATCTAAATCGACGTAAAGCGTTGGAAATTCACGCCGTATTTACTTCGTCGTGTTCAGAATTGTTGTTGTAATCCGATTAGGGAAAACTTCCAACAATATTTTGATGACAATGTCTATCTCTCCCGGCAATATCTATTTGTCGACCAACGAAATCCCCGATATTAAGCCGGAATTCACGCGTTTTTCCAAAGCAGACGTATAAAATAAGATATTTATTTGTTATTTTTGAATCCCCAGCTTAAATTTATATCAGTATTATATATAATCACGAGAAAGATGGAGAAATGTAAAAAGAATAAGAATAGACAATGAAACGTTTAAAAATATTTTTTAGATGTTGTAAATGTTGTTGTAAACGATTTTTTAACTTAAGTTTTCATTCATCTAATAATAGCATTTTAGCAAGAAATAAAACCTTATTTAAGATTTTTTATTTCCAAAGCATTTATTGTTCTGAAGCTATATATAGCTTCAATTTACTGTTTGTATTCTGAGAACGATTTCCGAAGTGGAAATTGAAACGTCAATAAACGTATTTTTACCTTTAATTGTGGCTTATTCCAGTTAAATAGTAATTAATCCAAAGCATTTCATTCCAAAGATAATTTGGTTTTTTCATAAAATCTATTATAAAATAATGATTTTATAATTTATTCTTCTTCCGGTTTTGGACCGTGTCATTTGTGAGTGACCCAAAAGTGGGTTCATCTCGACGTTTCGCTACAATTGTATGTAGCTTCTTCAGGAGAACAAAGAACAGAAAACAAAAGACAGGAAGATGGGTTAGTTAGCAACGGTAAACTCATGTTACTCAACGCAACCAGAGGCGATACTAACTACCAAGATGGCATTTGGTCACAGTAACTCAACTAACTCAACGCAGCCAGAGGTGAAAACAAATCCAGGACAGGGATTCACGCCAACAGCTCAGAACACTAACGCGTCGAGAGCGGGGAGTGAATCCGGGGAGCGGGGAGGAGATTCAAAGATCAAGGAAAGCGCAGCATAGGTAGAAGAATGTGCTAGCTGAGAAACCTTGAGAGAATGGCTGAGAGAATGATTTGTTAGTAGTGTCAAAAGTTAGAATAGCTATGATGGTTGCCAACCTTCGTCGCGGAGATGGCACGTAAAGAAGAAGAATTTATTAATTTTAGATATTTAGTGTAGAACACTTGATCTTTATTTATATCTTATTTTTTTTAATTCAATAGTACTCATTTTTTTAAAAACTTATTCCTAATAGAATCATTACCCTTTTTCAGTGGCAAGACGACGCCGAAAGGAAGGTAGGCCAAGACGACAAAGGACCACTTTCAGCAGCGAACAGACTTTGCGTTTGGAGATAGAGTTTCAGAGGTCGGAGTATATTAGTAGAGGAAGAAGATGTGAATTAGCTGAATCTCTGAGACTATCCGAAACTCAAATCAAAATTTGGTTCCAGAACAGAAGAGCCAAGGATAAAAGGATAGAGAAGGCTCACATTGATCATCATTACAGGTTAGTAAAAAATTATAAAAATAAACAACTGTGAATTTTCTTATATGAATAGCTATGTGTCTTATACATATTAACACAAAATTTCCTAGCCACTCTCGTGAATATTTCAAGAAAATAAATAAAATCACATTAACACTTATCATAAACAGATGAAAACTAATGCTAAATAATATTTCATTAGGTAGTAGATGTTTGGGATTCTTTTTTCTTTAATAATCTTGTTAAAAGGAGATGTAGAGTATTAATTACCACTTTTCCACCATATTTTAGCATCTCTGCAGTTATTCCATCTTTTCCAGGCGATTTGTTGTTTTTTCATTTCTTTCAATGCCTTCTTTATTTCTGATTTGCTTATTTCTGGCTGTGGCTCTAAGTTGACATTTTTTATTTTAACCTTAAGTTGGTTTTAAATTTCTTCTGGTAGTTCCTTTTTTGTTTTATATAATTCTGAGTAGAAATGGTGGATTATATTTATGATGTCATATTTAACGTTTGTTTTTACTCCATTTACATCTTTTATTTTGTTTATTTCAAACTTACCTAATTTCGGCCTTAAGCATTTCATATTTTTGTTGTTCTGTATTAATTCTCCTATTTTTATTTCTTGTTCTTTCTCTTATTTTCTTTTATCATTCTGCTTATATTTTATTGATTTCTACATATTCTATAGATTTCCTTTTGCCTCCTTCTTTCAGCTTCTTTCTTTTATCCATAAGCTTCTTTGTTTCTGTTGATATATAGTTGTTTTTTTTTTAGATCCTTTTTGCTATTTCTTTTCCTGATGTAATCATTGTTGCTGTAAGTATGTTGTCTATTTCGTCATCATCACTGTCTAATTTTTGGGTAAGTTGTTCTTTTAATAGGTCTTTGTATATCTCTTTATATTGCCCTAGTTTGTTTCTATCTACTTAGATCCCAGTTTCTACTTATTTTTCTTTTCATCTCATAGTTACCGTCAATACTAATTTTTGCTCTGACCATCCTGTGATCGCTACCTGTTGTGAATCTGTTAAGAACTGTTACATCTTTAATGATATATCGTTCCGTGGACAGTATGAAGTCGATCTCATTTTTTGTGGATCCATTAGGGCTGATCCATGTCCACTTTCGTTGGGGCTTCTTTTTGTAAAAGGAGTTCATTGCGTGTAGATGCTTTTCTTCTAGGTAGTTCATCAAAGTATCACCTCTATCATTTCTCTGACCATACCCGAAATCACCTATTTTAGTTTCTTCTTTGTTTAGTTTTCTACCCAGTTTTGGCATTGAAATCTCCAATTACTAGTGTAAGACGATTTTTATGTTCTTCCATAGCCTTTGATAATAAACCTACTGATGGAAAATAGTAAATTTCGAAAGAAACAATACAAGATCCAAATCGGTACAACCTGATCTACCTCCAGACGAAATAAATAATTTTTTATTACAATTGCAGAGAATATAAATTGCATCTCTTTCTAGTATTAATATCGATGTCCTGTTCAATTACAGAAATTATCCTTCTCCGAGCAAGTTATTTTTTTTTGTCCCATTGTGAAAGAGTTCTGTGAAATAATAAAGTTTCTTAATAATTCTAATTGTAGGGACGTTCACGAAATTAATAGCAAAATTTTAAGAGAAACTTACCAAATAGTTTTAACATCTTTCACTCTTCTTATTAATTTAATTCTATGAACTGGAATATTTCCGGAAGGAACTAAATACTCAAAAGTACTACCTATCTATAAAAAAGGTGATTCATCAAAAACTGACAATTACAGACTCATAGTGATTGAAAAGGTGGCCAAATAACAATTTTATTCCTATTTTGAGTTCAATAATTACTTTAGCAACTCACAATATGGATTCATGTGATCGTTCTATTATGTGACGTTGTGACTTGTCGACGTTTCTCTTTGTGACTTGTCGAAGGCTTTTGACTACGTTTCATACGCCATTTTGCTCCACAAATTAAATTTCTCTATGGAATCAGAGAAGAGTTTAGAAAGATCCACAATATACCTACTTGGGTGCAAACGTTAACGATAACTGGGATATAAACAAAGAAATAAGAATAACGCATTGAAAAGTCCAGAGCCACCTTCTATAAATTAAAGAAAATTCTAATTAATAGAGATATTACGTTAAACCTTAAAATCAGATTAATACGCTGCTCACATATTCTACACATTGCTGTATGGTATGGAGAGCTGGACCCTTACAGAGACATTAATGAAAATAATTAGAGGCCTTTGAGATGTGGATTTATCGACGAGTATTGCGGATAAGTTGGGTTGATCGAATAAGAAATGAAATAGTTTTACATCGAATGAAAAAGAGCACAGAAATAACAAAAACGATAAAAATTCGAAAGTTACAATATTTCGGTCATGTAATGAGACATCCAGAGAGGTATAACCTTCTACACCTCATAATACATAGTAAGATCGCCGGAAGGAGCGGCTCAGGCCGACGAAGAACATCCTTGCTCTGAAATCTCCGAGAATGGTATCAAGAGACAGCCGCTAATTTATTTAGAGCCGCCGCCGTAAACAAAGTTATTATTGCCAATATGATCGCTAACGTTCGATAATCGGACAGAGTACTAAAAGAAGAAGAAGATGGAATCAGGCAGTAGCGTCTAAAGGTCTTCTCTCCGATTTTCTATCCGTAAAACATGGAGCCCCATAAGGTTCGGTCTTAGGACTCTCTTTTGATTATTATTATTGTCAACGATTTGCCTAAATTCATATCTTCGTACAAATCCATATAATTCGCAGATGATAAGAGGTACGTTATATCAAGAAAAAATAATGATGATTTAAAATGTCTTACGAAGAAGTTTCTACTAAATCTTGCACATGGTTTCCTGCAAAAAAAACTGAAACTTAACTCCGATAAAGCGAAAAACTTGGTTACATCTGCAAGTAATTTATATAATGATCCAGATACAAAAGAGACTGGTAAACTATTGGGAATAACCATAGATAATCGAGTGAACAGAACGACTCATATCTAACAACTAAAGAAAAAGATATTAAGTTCATTATTTGTTATTCACCAACTAGCAACGATTGTCAACTTTGAAACATTAAAAGTGACATATTTTTCTTTATTCGCTCAAACCTAAACTATGGATTGATCATAAGGGGTAATTCAACAAATGCACTTAAAATTTTAGAATGCAAAAGAAAACTATCAGTTGATATTTCAAGTTCTGACTGAAATTCACAGAAAAACCGGCCCATTTAAGCCATTTAAGGCCGAAACTAAAAGCCTCGTGGCATAATCAATTATTGTGAATTACAAATAATTAAAAGGACCAACATTTTAAAACAAAGTTTTTTATTCTAATTATTTCAACAAATAAAATAAAAAAATCTTAAATATCTAGTTTGTATGATATTTATAAAAACATTGTTTTCGATGTAGTGCTACATTACATTTACTGCAGCAAAAATTACATTTTTTGTGGCAAACAGCACAAAGAGTTTGAGTGTCATTATAGACAGTAAGGTGGTCCATCCCATAGTATCTTAAGTGACTATGCAAATTGGCCTAAAATTATAGCAAAGTGTTAAACATTATGGAGAACACCAGTGCAGTTTACCGTGCCTTTTACTGTAACGAAAGGTTTTCTGCGAAATTCCATTAATCGTTTAGAGGTGTAAGTTGGTTGAATGTACTGTACAATATCCTCGCGATTAGCAAACTAAAGATTAGAAACTTACAAAGACCCTGCTCTAAAAATGTACCTGCTGTACATATTTCAATTAATTGGCAAACTACTTGTGGCCTTGTATGGTCTTATTATAGGTAAAACAGCATAATACCCAAAAGAAATAAATAAATTTTTATAGAAATAGAAATACCTACTTTTCATTCATTCATCCCAGATACCTACGGTATCAAAAGGATTGATCTCTGGTGGGACTCTTTCCGTGTTATCGAGCCCTAGGTGACTTCGTTTACTGGAGTATCTCCCAGAAATTTTCGTACACATCTGGACGACATTGGTTATTATTATTATACATAAGCGAGAGGAAGAGGAACGAGTCCCTAATATGTCCAAAAACAAAGAATATTCATTAATAACCTACTAGTGAATAACAAAATTACAATTTTTAGTTTAAAAGAAAAACAATATTTTAACTATAATATATAACGGTCAAGTCTGTTTTGAACGAGTTGGTAGAGAGAGCAGAGACTATGTTATCATTAAGGTTATTCCAACACTCAAAAACTCTGGTAGAAAGTTCTGTCTTGATCTTGTAGAAAATTTTCTTTTTTGTCGGCGAAATTCAAAAGAAGTTAGGTTAGCCATATTAATTCTTTCTGCATAAAAAGGTGTTCTCGGTCCCAAAAGAATTCGAGTGGCTTTTCTTTGAACGTTTTCCAACAAAGTCTTGTCACGAACCAAATCACGATAGCACGTTGGTCCAGCGTATTCAGTATGGGTCTTACGTAAAGAGTGTAAAGTTTAGAGAATGATTGCATTGAAACTCTCGAAAAACACCTCCGATTAAAATACAGTTGAAGTTCGCACGTTTACAAATAGAGGTAATATGGTCGGAAGAATTTAGGCTGCTGTTTACGATAACACCAAGGTCGTTATACGGGAATACAGAATCTAATTGCCCGTTAACAAAGTACAGCACAAGTAGGTTATTTTTACCAATTCGCATCACTACACATTTTTCCGCATTAAGGCTAGTAACCACTGGAAACACCAAGTTAAAATAGAGTCCAAGTCCATTTGGAGGGTTAGCTGGTTTGTGATTGTATTGGCATATATTTTTGTGTCATCAGCGTAGAACGATATTTTACTTGAGACATAATAGGGAACATCGCTGGTATATGATATGGTAAAGCAGAGGTTCAAGGACAGAACCCTGAGGCACTACACTTTCGACTAACCTGTCCTGTGAGAAAGATTCGCCAACTCTAACTTTGTAATGTCGATCTGTCAGGAAATCATCTATCCAACGAAGTAAAGTACCGCGAACTCCGAAATTTTTTAGCTT